ATGCTGACCGAAAATGTGGTTCCAGTATTTAAAATACTAGAGTATAAATATCTAGAAATTGGCAATGGGATAATTATGAGGATAAGATACAAATTGAGTGATAATTACTGAAGTTTGGGCAAATGAATTTCATGCAAACGAAATCAATCAAGCAAGTTAAGTTAGTTTTTAAAAATTCTGTTTAATTCATCTTCTTCACTGCACAAGGATATCTGTACAAAACTGTAATAAAATTTGCTTAGTATAGTTATTGCTATTTCACAAATAAATATTAATTCTATTATTTTTGCATTCCCAATCAAATTAGAAACACATTAGCACAGCTCGATTTCATTGATCTGCATTAGCCTCAGCTCTCCAGTTTCTCAAGTACCTCAAGTGAACTAATTAAGAAATTTATTAGTCAATTAAGCACATAATTTTTCAATTTTACATAAAAAATCATTTAAGAATGGCCCATAATGAAAAGAAATGCAGCTAGGCTCAAATTAAGGAACACCCAGCAGAATTTCTGCCTAAAAGTCCAGACATTAGAAGGGCTGAAAAGTGAAAACCATCCATGAATTTGGAAGAGTCTTCTTAAGCAATTAAGTGAGTATTGATTACCTTGTACAATAAAATTTTTTATATCATTTTATGCAATGATCTATCCAAAGAATATGCTTTCAATTGAAAACTTAGGTGTATTGAATTGTGATTTTATTTTCTAGCAATGCTTGCTGAATTAAACCTCTCTAACAATATACTACTTTTATAATTTCTCTATTAAATTACAAATTTTGTATTTTGGCATTAGTTAGCATAATTATTTGCAACACAATAATTATTTTTCAGCTGAATCGCCTGCAGAGCCTGCCATGGGAGTGGAGACAGAAGATCCCCTACAAGAAGTATTGCAGTACTTACTGCACTTCTCTGCCTCATCATGGCCATCATACTCTGACTTGTGACAGGGTTCCTTAGAAGTGGAGATGATGGAGCTGACCTTCATGTGAGCTTTCCATGAAAGAGGCCATATGACCCATGCTCTTTCTGTCTTGGGCGAGCTGTCTCACTTTTGATTTAAAGTTTACAGAAATTTTCTTGATTTATGTTCTGCAAACTGTCAAAAATGTCAATATTTATCGACACTATTCACTGAAAATCAGTTGAGCTTTGAGAAAAATATGATAGTGAACTGTCGACAGGGTTCTGCTTCAATATTTGGATAATCTTGTGCTTTGATGATTGAAACAGATGTTGATTGTATTAATTCCATATTTTAACTCTTCAGGACCGTAATTAGTGCACGCAGAGCAGCGCTGTCGTCCCATCAGCAAATGCGAGGTGCCGTGCCTCGTGGACGGACTGGTGACACTTTACGCTTCTCACTACGCCTCAGACAACGAAAAACGGATTGCAGTCTGCGCAGCTGTGGTATCTGAAGAGATTTGCAACTCCCCCTGTATATTGTGGCTCTGTAGTTTCCGCTTCATCAGCGTATTTTAATGTATTTTTAAAGCCAAGTTAAAAAATTTAAACATTAATCATTTGAGCATAATTGCAAAATTGAACAAGATATTCATTTAATGGATTCAAATATTGATAAAATGAATCGAGTGGCTGATTTCACTGCTAATTGTGGCAATAGCTCTCACAAACGTGCTCATCCAATCTACTGTTTATGATACATTGATTATACCAAGGCCTCAGGCCCTCCATTCATTGATTTGAATTTCATTGTTGGTCTTTTTTCAGGTGGAGGCTCCATCAGTTTCTATAAATACAATTATTTTGGACTAACTTAAATGATTTTTGCAGGTACTCTGCGAGCCTAAATTCCCCAATTCCCCATCCACAGAAGTGCATTCAATAGTGACCACGAGAAGAGGTGTCGACTTGGGAATGTCTGCTATTTGGCCCGGCCGCGGAAGTTACAGAAGCAATGTGGCACGCAGCCTGGGTACCCCCATGGCGAAGATTCAGCTGAGTTCTTGGCGAGCGCCCTCCAAACCCACGCTCATTCTTTCCCGATTGTCTCTGCCCCTCCAGTGTAAAGACTCGTGAAAGTTGCCCTGCTGTCCCGCTTTGGTCCTTTCGTTGCCAAAGTATTGGTAGGTGGCTACCTGCCAGCAGGCTTCTATGTGGAGCATTTACGGACCCTTCGCAGGGCCATCGCCTCCAACGCCGCGTGGACCACCGAGAACAGGATCCTGGTCACCCCACCTCTCCATAATCCTGGTCGCCCCACCTCTCCAGGGCACCCCCGAGAAAGCAATACTCCCGCGCCCCTACCACTCCGAGCTGGATCAGCACCGTTCGTGCTTTTGTAGGCACCTTGGGTTCTTCATATTCAGGGTGGGGCCCTTCGCAAGCGCGGCTTGTCTCGAGTGTTGGGAAACCATGCTGCTCCACTGAGCACCTCTTCGACTGCCTGTCCTTACAACGGACGTTTCCGTCTCCTTCCTGTAAGAGTCGTCTCCTGGCCGTAGTCTTCCTGATCTCTCACCCTGCATGAGGAGAAAGCTGGAACCGGAGGCCGAAACTTTGTGTTCGACATCGAAATTTGTAAACTAAGTTCTTTTTGCACATCTCGAATTGCATAACACTAAAGCTTACATATGGAAACACCTATGCGAGAGCCATTGTACAGCCGTTAATACCTTGGTCTTCTCTGTCTTTTATTTTGCTTCAAGTTGCATGGTATCAGTTTCTTCTGTTGTACTTTTGAAGTGCATTTTAGATCATTTATTAAGTTCTTAACTACATATGTGCATCTCACTTGAGCTGATTTGGGACGAGTTCTATTCAGTGACCCGGTGAAGATTATCTCATAGCGATACTCGTAGACCATTTTGTTTCTGCTCTTGTCTTCAGAATTTTATAGAATTGATTTCACTTGTAATTCACCATGCAGAATTTCCATTTTGGACTTATAACATAATTCTAAATAGTAATTTGGTGAGAGAGAATTTCAAAACCAAAGATTTTCTCTCACCATAGATTGTCATGATTGTCTCTCACCAAAGTTTGTCATGATTGCCGCCTCTCACCCAATATTGTCATGTTTTTGTCTCACCAAAGATGCAAAAAATAAAACAGCGAAAAAAACATGTCAAGACAACATATTGATTATGCAAAATGATCTTACTAAAACTTTGCGCAAGCATGATTTTAGCACATGTCACTGAAAGTTCTATCAAACGCTTATGGCTACATCGATCTGTCTGATTTTTGGTGGAGAGATGGAAAAAGACATAGGGAACAAGTCCCGACCTTCCAATTTTTTTTAACTCTATTACTTTTTGAGTTACAGCCATTCAAAGTTGAATATCTTTTTTTGGGACACACTGCATATTATATTAGCTTATTTTTCTGGAACGGTTGAGTGGCCCGATCCCCTTGATCGTAAGATCCGCTATTCAATAGGCTCCGTGACACTTTTAACAACGTCAAACTCACCGAAACTGTCACATGCACTGAGCTGGACGAACCCACCAGCATCGTCGTCTTGTAGTGGCCCGACATCATCCAACCGACGATAGCTGAAGCCCTTATCTCTACGGATTGGATTCCAGCTATCCATCTCATAACTACCGGAATTTATACGCTTTGAGATTGTCTCGGAATTATTTCCACGGTTCAGAATTTTTACTGTAGGTATCATATTTAAGTGTATCATGTACTTATTTCCACCAAAATTTATGCATTCAATGAACTTAAAAGTGAAATGAACCGTTTAACTTGAAAATGAATGTTGCTGAATTCGAAACGTCGTCAATAAATTGAAAATACTTCCTTAAACCTGAATTTTGATCAACCAACGTCATCTGAAGAATATTGTTCGACCCTGAAAATTGAAATCAATGAATTCTCCGGCCATTAACCACCCGTGTGTAAAGAAGCCTGATAATGTTATTTATACACATCAATAGTACATAAATGTACCGAATAATTGATACTCGAATAATATACGGCCTTTTGGATTTCTCAAAATGCTTATATGTCATGCATTAAAAAGGATCAAGCAATTATTGTTTTGCAATCGAACTTTATTATAGTTGCATTATCAATATTAAATCATATTGGTATTATTCATCTTACATAAAAAATTTCATGTTATGCAGAACAAAGCAAATAATATAGAAAAATCATACACAGTTAATTTCTAGCAGACACCCTGCTTTCGATATTATTAAACACGTAAATAGAACAGCCTCATTTGTCTGCGTTCGATAAAATCAAATACATCCGGTAGAAAAATTTAAATTATGTCATATTAATCAGCATTGGAAATGCCTACCAACATGCATCACGTCTGCATTATGAGTGAAATCAAACCTAAATCATCGAAAAAATCAAACAGGCTTACTTAAAACTATTAAAACTTTCCTCTCTTCATAGCATGAGACTATATAGTTACCATTATCCTTCAATCAAATAGTTCATACTGTCCCTGATAAATAGCTCGAATGGGTCTTTTGTTTGAATGGGTCGGTTTAATACAAACAATTTTTGTTACGATTCATCACACTAGGAGTAATGATGAAGGGAATTTCACAAAATTTAACTAGAAGCACTGACCAGTGTTGCCAGACTCTTTGGATGCTCCCGCTGGACTAGTGCTACCAGAAGCTTCTCTTGGTGGGCCAGTATTTTTTTTGTCTCCGTCTTATTGTCACGATTAAGATTCCTGCAGACAACATCCTCATTCTTTTCCTGAAAATCTTCAGCTGGTTTATCTACAACGTTGTTTTCCTCTTGTCATCTCAACTTCGGACGTTGTCTCTTTTCGATCTCGTTCTCTATCGGGCTGTCCCTTTACAGCAATTTTTAAGTGATTCAGCTCACTACGTTTTTCATCATATTTCTCTAGAATTTCAGTTTTCTTTTCAGTACATAATTTTTCGGTGGCATCTTCGTGACCGGCAATCCACCTTAACAAATCTTTGATCAACTCGTCCATTTTTTCTTTTAAAGTTGGTGGCGGTTGAAGGTCTTTCTACTCTGATGCTAGGACGTTACCGATTTCCGCTAACTCGTTCCTTTGCGTCCTTTTCAACCGTTATTCGATCAAATTCAAACTGCTCCAGTTGGTTCATCATTTCTTTAAATTCCGAATCCAAATGAAAGTTATTTTCGGATTTTTTCTCTACAATATCATTCTCTTCATTTTTAGGAAAGACTGAAGTGTTAGCTTCAAAAACTAAGTGGCGCCCAAGCGTGTATGAGGTGATCTTTTCTTGAATAACTTTATTATTGTTGAGCTCTCTTAGGATCACTGTGAACTTCATGTCTGGTGTTGCCACGAGATACTTCTGAAACTCAGTAGCTAGTAAGGATATTTCTCTAACTGGGTCTTGCACCATCTCACTTATGGCGACATGTGTTGGGTCATTTCCGTTCAGTTGGTCAGCTCTGATAGCTGCCCCGCGCGCTACAGATTCATCAGCGTTCACAGTCATGTTCAGATTTTTTTCACCGAAATAAATTTTGAGAAAGTCAGAAATAAATGGAACTCTGCTAGATCCCCCAACGACGACCACTTCATCGATTTGATCCTTAGTCAGTCCTGCGTCGTATAGCACAGAATTTAGAATTTTAGTGAATTTCGTCGATAAATTTTGAGCAAAGAGTAGTTGGAACTGTTTTCTTTGTACATCGATTTTCAAAGGCAGCTCTCCCAGAATGTTGTCTTCATTATGTTCGAACGACTGAAGTAGCGTAAGATTCTTTTTTAGAATCTCACAAGCCAACTTCAATCTCAACTTCGAACTAGGTTTATCGAGCAAGCTCTTTGAATTCTCATTTATGAAATCTTCGTTCACCAATGTCATGAGCTCCTGATCCAAATTGTCGCCTCCATAGGAGTCATCACCGCTAACCGCAAGAGCCTTGATCTCTTTGTTACATATTTTGATGACGGAGACGTCTAGCTTAGTGGCGCCCATATCGAACACAAGGATGGTTTGTTGTGCCACGGAGGAGCCGCGGTTGTGCCAGTACGCCAGAGCTGTGGCTGTCGTCTCACAGATGAGGTCCAGCAGGGGTAGCCCGGCAATTTTACAGGCCGCCACGAGCGCCTCCCGCTGGCGGTTGCTGTAGGTCGCAGGCACGGCCACCACCGCTCCTCCGATGTCCCCAACTTGGACTTCAGCTTCTTGTCGCATCTTAAGCAGTTGCATGGCGGCGACCACCTCCGGGGTGACGCGCAGCATGTCGCCGCGGTACTCCACTTCCATTGCCGGCTTCCCCCCATCATCCACGACCTTCACTGGACTGTAGGATGCGTACTTTTGCACGACCGGGTCCCAGTAGCTCCTGCCGAGGATGGTCTTGACGCCATAGACGGTGTTGGTGGCGTTGCTCCTCGCCTGGTTAGTGGCATCGATGCCCACGAGGCTGCAGGTGCCGGTGAAGGCAACAAAACTCGGAGTGGTCTTCTTTTCATAAGCGTTTGGTAACACCTTCACCGCCCCAGCGCGCACGCAGGCAACACAGCACTTGCCTGCACCCAGGTCAAGCCCGATGCTAGCCGCTCCTGACATCTTCCTGTAGAAACAGACGCAGCTTACTCACAATAACAATAATCTCACAAAACAAATGCAAGGAAGTGATCTGCTCAAGTTACTTTTCCGGTCATTCTCGCGTGCTAAATATTTTAAGATTATATCGCTACAATCAAGATGTATCTTTATGCTTATAGTTTAGAATTCAGCAAAATTCCGAACGTTAGTTAGAAGAAAAATCATGAGAAAAATGGTTTGACATCAATCGTTCAAAAATGCACCAAAGTGACAGTGCATATTACTTATCCGTTTCGCACATTTAGGGTGAAGAATTTTGCAAGGAAACTTCTAGAAATACTTTGAGTAAAAATGCACCCGCTACATCCATATGTGTCATCCAATATTCTTTCTCGGAATAATTTACTTACTTTAAAGTGAAGAAACTTAGAGTCTTTCAAGCCATTAGGAAGAAAATATTTGTTAGCCTCAAAGAGTCAAGACCCTCTAATTTGAAGAAATTAAAGGCACTTTGTTCATAATAATTTGGATTTTCACGCTAAATATTGTCGACATCTCGCAAGTTTCCAAGATATTACCAAAGATATTCTTGTCGCTAGTTCAGATTAATTTTTTAGCAGCGATCGTCACCGATTCTTTATTCTCTAACATTTAAGTCTTACTGGTACTTACTACATAATAGCAACTATTTTCGTCAAAGTGAGGAGTACTCCGGTCTATCGAAATGATGTCACTAACATGAAAATTGTTGCCTCTGATTAAATCATTAACCGACTCATGAAGATCAACTGCATTATTCTCTAAAAAGTGTTTCACAACATCTAGTTTCATGTCTCGTTAGCAACTTCACCATTTGATTTCCATTTGTGGCACTTACTCTTAGCAGGCTGCTTACAGATGTATTCAACCTGGTACTCAGTCAAGTACTGCAGTCATAAGTCTTGATTCCTTATTGTGATAAGAAGAGATAACAAGGTTCGCCAGCAAAACCTTATCTCCATTCCTATTTTAGAATGTATAAGTAAACCGTTGAACTTTAAATTTAAGCGGAAATGCTCGAGATCTCACAGAAAAATTCCCTTATGGTAACAGTACTATGAATCAACCATTATCATTTTACTAGTGCAATTGAAGCAATAAGATTCGAACCCAGGTTTACCTTCTTCAAAGAAGGCGGTCACTTGCAAGTGGTCCAGATATAAGTTTATCATAAATACTCTTATCGCGATAAGAGTTGTCTTTTCTTCCGTTTGAAGCTCATCACTTACTGACGGCACAGAGGATTCAATACTTCAGCGAACCATTAACTACGAAATTAGTTTCAGGGAAATATAACTCAAGTACTGCGACTAATGAAATATACATTTCTGTTATTCACGAGATGAACTATCAGGATCACACGATTGCTTGAATCGTAACGTTACCAGGAACTTGCAAGCAAATAAAATGGCAGAAAATTTCACAACACTTCTATAGAATAATATATTTCGGAGTCCAGCTCAGTCGTCAGTTCGACCGTCTTAGAATGCAAATCCAATCAGTAAGTAAACCAAAATTTACAAAGCAGATATTAAAATCTAAATTTACTAATAAAGGACAAATAAACTCAAAATAAAAAGAGGCAGACATGCTCTACTTAAAATTTCACGAGGGAAAGGACTGAAAACAGCATTAATACTAGGCCTTGATTGGAAAATATATAGGGATCTTAAAATTTAAAAGTCAGAAAAATCGGTTGTGGAAGGTGAGATTCTAAAGTCACTATCACAACTGCAGTGAAAATTCTATTTAGAATATTAGGGTATTATTAAATCATTCACTATCACTTTACTGACATCGAAAATTTTCCACGAAAGCAAATAATTGCGCTATTTTCTCTCAGAAATTTGAATTCATTGAGACTACATATTTTTAGGAATGCCATCAGGACCTAGAGATAAAATATGAGAAGGGCCATGAAAACTGATCTGCACATCTCGATTATACTATCGTCTTAATTTCCATGCAGTCTCGACAGCTACCACGTAATTTCTGTGATAAGAATCTAATGAGATGTTTTGAAATCATTGTTCGATTTGTATGATACCGATGCTCAAATGACGATGTTCAGGTCGACGTAAATAATGAGACGGAACTCCATCATGGCCTGTCGCTGCTACGTCCGAAATACATACAAAGGATAACGACGCTGCGGTTCATCCATCAGTGACCTACTGGTTGAGTCAGTACCCCGATGTATAGTATTCTACAAAAATTTGGAATATTTCTGAACGAAATACGAGCATCGAATCAATGAGTAAAGTGCACAAGACAGACGTAAAAGCCCTATTCGCACCCGACCTCGAGCATTGACCTTATGAATAGTTAACGCCAAATGATTTCATAAATGCGTAAAGATTTATTGAAATGGATTAACTAAATATGATGATTAATTTGCCGTCATTACCAGTTGCAGCCAACCGCAGTGCAGTCAATTTTTCAGTTCCTATGTGGCCACAGCTTATAACTCCATGAACCAAAGGTTTCATATCACCATGTTTGGCAGTGACGGGATTAACTATGCTTGTCTGTGATTGTCTATGCTTTATTCAACTATATTTTCGACAAAATTAACTACGATTGTCACGTGTATTTATGAGGATTTAAGGATTCCAAAAGCATAAATTTTCTGACAAGTGGAGTACAACGTTTATACAATGTTTATATTGGGTTTTTACAAATCTCGCACAAAGTTCGAACGTATATGACAAAATTTGATTAAATCGCTGAAAAATCCTTAAAAACACCTGGATTAACAGCATCAATACAAATAATACAGAGGTCTTAAATTATTAACAGACCCCTGATTTGGCTTGAATTTTTAAATTCCTGCTATCTTTAAACCTTCAGATAATAAGATTAGCAGTAATCACTGTCGGAATGATGAACTGTTTACGGACAATTTCCGAACCAGTGAGCAGTATAATGTCTTAGTATTCCACTTTTTATGCAACCTTATCAATAGGATGGATGTCGAGATTGCAATGCAATAATAATAGTTCGAGATGCCCACGAACTATTACTAAAACTCACTGCAACTTAATTACCGAAACTGATTACACCATAATTACCCAAATTGATCGCACCCTAATTACTCATATTTACTGCACCTTGATTCTGTTATAAATTTTGATCTAACAAGTTTTCCATTACAGCCGGAAGAATTTCATAAATAATTTTTATAGGAATTGCATAGATGCAAAGTCCCTAATCTCCCTTTTTATAGTCCAGATCTGATAGTTAATATCTACGCCACGAACGAAAAAACTTATCAATAGAATTTTCTTCGCCGTTTTGAAATGAACAGCATTTGATTAATATCAGCTCATCTGGGTTGATGAACCCTTTAACGACCAGGTGTACCGTACGGTCGCCTTTCATACATGCTCTGGAATATTATTGTCATGTTAAGGAATTGGCACTAGTTGTTTTGAACGTGTTCGGTAAGCGTCCCTGCTTTGTTTCGGTGGTGCAACTCTGCTCTTTGACGCCAACTACGCAGTACAGCGTTGATTTTGTTGGGAATCCATGGTGCCATTCACTTGTTGAACTTAAACAATCTTTATTGGACTATGGTGTGAAAATCAGATACATTAACGCATGACAATAATTCTACATTGCTTCTAGTACAATAGTGAGTGCACATGCAAAATTTGAACAGAAAATAAAATAAAATTAGCTTATATCACATTGTGTTTCTAAAGGCGACCATTCAGTACAGTTGGACCTACAACTGCCTTGTTTGGAACGCGGCCGTTGAGTTATGTTGGTCCTACGACCATGCAAGTAGGGAATTACGATGTACCTAAAAAAATTGTGTTTTAATTACTATTCTATAATTTAGTGCTTTTCTACGATATTTTCTACGATTAGTGCTTCTCACTAATAGTGAGAAGCACTAATTCAGTTGTCTCCAACTGAATTAGTGCTATTCTTTTTTTATATCTCCATACATTGGCCAACTGATCGAAATATTGAAGTGTACATGTATTATTTTTTGCCTGCCTATGTGAACAGCATTTTGCTACTTTATTTTCCAGTGAATCTAATGAAGACTCTGTGGATGAAGAGGACATGTTGGATACGATATTGGTTTCACCAATACGCCTGACACCAGTTTGGAAAGCAAATTTAAAGAAGTAAATGAACCACTCGTGATTAAAATTTACAGAATGGAAGGTGGGAACCTGGCATTTCAACCTGGATTCCGGGCCTATACTTTCAAAAAAGTTAAGAGATCGTAAGTTCATCAGCCGATCATTGACGGGTTTTCAAGCAAAATCCAACAATCATAGAGAAGGAAATAGAGCGTAAGTACTTACGTTCACTTTGCGAGTTTTGAAAGTATGGCCCCTGGTCTCTTAACCTGGGCCTATACTCTCACAATTCGCTAAGTGAACGTAAGTACCTACGGTCTATTTTCTTGTCTACGATTGGTGGATTTGGCTTGAAAGGCCGTCAATGATTGGCGGATGAACTTACGATATCTTAACTTTTTTTAAAGTATAGGCCTTGGACCCTACCTGCCAAACCTGAACCGTGGCCTCTCAACCTGAACCCTGGCCTCTCAATCTCCACCCTGGCCCCTCAGCCTGGACCCTGGCCTCTCAATCCCCACCCTGGCCTCTCAACCTGGACCCTGGCCTCTTAATCTCGACCATGGCTGGCCTGCCAGTCTGGACCCTGGCCTCACAACCTGGACCAAGGCCTCTCAATTTCGACCCAGGACTCTCAATTTCGACCCTGGTCTCTCAACCTGTACCCTGGCCTCTCAACCTGGACCCTAACTTCTTAATCTCGACCCTGGCAACATGGACTCTGGCTTCTTAATCTCGACCCTGACTAATACTCTGGTTAGTATTAGTTAGTATGTATAGTAGTGTTGTTTTATTCATAACTCGGGCCCACGTCGAACTTTTCCCTGACTGCTGTTAGGATGCTAGCTGCATTGCCTCTCTGCACAGCCAAACCCAACCTTTGCTCCAACCATAGAGCAGGGTTGGCGATTTTTTGATTGTTTTAAAAAAATGAAAAAAAAAATCAAAAATCAATGATTTTTTCATTATTTTTTGATTTTTTTTATTTTTTTTCAACTTTTTTGTCTTTTTGATGTGCTATTTTTTATGTTGCAATTAGCCAATTTTGATGGAGCTGGCAAGCAAAAACCAATTTTCAAGCTAGGAATTCATTGGCTAAACTTATAAATATATTTCAAATCTTTAATTTACTCCCAGAATTATCAAAAAAGCAACATTAATTGTTACAAGGCAACACAGCTCATATAAGTACATTTTTTGTAGTTTCCATTTTCAATTGATGTAAGCATACTGTCTAACATAAACATGACTAAAAGTATAAAAAACTAACTATAATGAATGCATTGTTTGAACAGCATTATTTCACATTCTCTTGGAACAACGCATCCACATGCCACAAGATTTCCAATCAAATATAGTATATGACTTTGGAGCCAAGAAATTGTGAATATAATGAAATGTTGTGATTTTTGGGATTTGATATTTTGTAAACAGTTTAAAATTTTCAATTTGGCTCTATAGATAACAATTCACTATCAATGTGGTTAATAGCAATGGATGAATAAAGGATACCTATGTGGCAATAGATATAGACAAACTGGTACCAATAAATGATTGAGATCACATCTGCTAATAATAGATGCCAACTAAACCTGAGATATTTGTTAGAAAACTTGAAAAGATGACTTAATGAATTTCTAATGCATATGGAATAATTGTTGAATATATTACAGGCAAAAGGCTCAGAAATAATTGTTGAGGTTTTGATGAATACTCCTGTATGTTATATTTTTAGAATTTTTTCTGCAGCCTGAGTGGATTTGGTTCAAATGTTCATTCGCT